AATGTTTGTAAATGTAGATCGTGCAGCTTGGTATAATCATGAGAAGCAGGGGCGGATCTAAGATTTTTCAAACATTAGTTATAAAACGTCGGAGGCGCTTGGCACCGGGGGGGGTCTGAGGCATTCTCCCCTGAGAAATTTTGAATTTCAGAGCCTTGAAAATGCCATTTTCATCGTTTTAGAGCAATACAAAATGTATTTTGGGGGCATCGTTTTTGCGTAAAAACAAGACATTTTGCTTACGCTTTTTTCAAAAAAAAATATGAAGTGATCAATACTTGAATGTTTTGCCAAATATTTAGGCTCATTATCGTGCCAAATATATGGCTCATTAGCATGTCTAGGAAAGTAAAATTTATTTTACAATAATGCTATTCAAAAACAGATATAGTCTTTAAAAATTTCTACCAAGTTGTCAGGCATAGACCCCCTAGAGATCCCCATTCAAACCTCTATGTAATGAGTTAAGTTAAAAATTTGGTACTACAAGTGACAGTTCATAGACATAGAAAAGCTCAGACTTCAAGCCATGCAAGTTTATTGTAACCCTTTACCCATCTCCACATCAGTGCCAGCAACTTCACCTTTTGAGAAAAAACTCAAAATTTTTTTCTGCCAAAGATTAAGCAAAAATTATCAGAGTGAAATTTTGCAGTTAAGGACAGCTTAATGCCATAAATGTTTATTAGGCATTTCACTAGACTATTATCTTCTGAAAGTATATGCAAGGTGTACTATATAGCAAACGGAACCTGTTTAGTAACCTGAATTTTTGAGTTTCATGAGACAATTGCTTAAATTCTCCAACAAAGTGCGAAGATCATATCTACATTAAATTTAATAATTACATGAATGTTAAAATCGGTTCATGTGTCATGCTTACTATTTGTGATAAATATCTTTTCATATGATCAAAGCTCGTTTAAATGTAAATCTGAAATAATTTAGTTTAGAAATTATAATGATCATCAGAAAAATTACCTAGTGATCATGAAAAATACTTTGCTGTTTTACCAAATTTCAAAGTTTATCTGCATACATAGAATGACATTTTTACTTTATAGAAAATGCTTTTCATACATTAATAGCTCTTTGGAATTTATGGCAAACAATCTGGTATGAGCCGTAGATTAACACACCTTTACATCTCTACGTGAGGTTTTCAGTTAGAAAAGGGGACAATATGTGACATGGGACAACATTTCATGCATGTATGTGAAATACTCAGGTTTAACACTATTCCAGTCAAATTGTCAAAATAAAAAGCTTCATGTATCAGAAGACTCAAAATCACAGGTTATAGTAAACAGCTTCTCATGTAATCAATGTTAGCTTTCTCAAATCTTAAACAATATGTAGTATAACTGTTCAATGATTGAATGATCAATGATCATAAACTGAAAAGCCCCAAACATTTGTGTATGATAAAGTAAATAATAGTATGGCGCCTTTTGGCTACAGATTTTTTTCCATTGAAATATATTTGCAGGAATGTAGGATTTCCTTGCCATATAACGGTCACGATTCCCCAAGCACTAAAGAAATCATAGCTAAAAGTCCTTCGTCAACAACAATTTTAGAAGCATCAATCTGCTTACCATACGCCATATTGACATAAATCGCATCACACATTCGCATAAATTGACTTTGATATATTACATTTATGCGTACACTTCACTTGTCCTTTACTTACGATTTTGGATGTAAATTTCTGCTGATAAAATTCAAAACAATGTTGGCTTTCTTTTGAACATCTATGACTGAAATGTCGCTCGCGAGATCGTCTTTGTCAAGCATTTACAATTTATCCATAAATTTTTCACCCTCTTGAAAAAATTTACAGTTTGTACAGCAGCATTTATGTCAATATAAGAATTTGTAAAATATTTCCGTAAATTCCATCTGATTGTAGTTTAGTTTCTATCATGCTTATAAAATTTACTATAAAACGATCAAACATTCAATTCAGACAGTGAGCTTGACTATGTTAGTTCAGTTGGCTATCAGTCGAAATCCGTCAAACCAATCACAATAAAACAAAATTCAAATGAACCAATTGTAAGATAGCAATCGGACTCCTTTATACGTCCGGCTACCCCTCTTCTCAGTCGAGACCATTCCAGACTGTCCACTGATCTGGCTATTGACCAATAAAACAAGTGTTTTGAGCGTTCATAGACTCCTTTATCCGTGGAACCAGTCAAGCCACCCCGCTTATCAGTCGGTTATTCCAGGTCAATTAAAATTCAACTGATCTGGTTACCAACGAGATATTCATTGGATTAGTCATTAGTTTTCAATAATAAATAAAGCTGGATTTTATCACGAAGTAAATGCGATAATAAAGTAAGAATAATTAATGAATTTTTAATACGAATAGTAATTTTTGAATTCTAAACATCAGTCGCGCGACGGATTTGACATACTCTAGATCCGCCCCTGGTGAGAAAGACTGTTTTCGTTGTTGTTGACTGACGTTTCGACAACCTTAGCGGTAGTCATCTTCAACGTCAAATGAAAAGTAAACGTAAGGTTGTCGAAACGTCAGTCGACAACAACAAAAACAGTCCTTCTTAGGACTATACCAACCTGGACGATCTACATTTACAAACATGTAACGATACTCCCGGATTCAAACCATTTACTTTAAAGCATATATTGTCAAAACAAGCATTGATGAACAGAGAATCCTTCTATAGAAATAACAGTAAATCTCCTAAGAAATAACAGTAGATCCCCTACAACTGAAGGGTAATGTTTATTCAATGAATAACATATCTTTTGATATAAGTTGTTTGAAGTTTAAAATCAAGCACTGAATAACGCAAAGTAAACATTTTGAGTTATTTCTTAGTTATTTGTCAATTCAAATATAGGCAGACAAATTTGTTGGAAGGTATGACGGAAAATATAGATCTTGCCACAATTGAATACATAAGCTTGCGAATTAGTCGTTTTAACCTAATTCAAAGTAACAGCAAAATCTTATATCGCTGTAATAATCATAATTTAAACGAACTCTTCATCTTAGAAGCGCTTTTGATAAAACACAATGTGCCACAACTCAACAGTGGTCTCAAAGCCTCAAAGAGCTATCTCCATTTTAAATGTAAATACTACCTAATAAGTCTTGAAACTTTCTCAATTTTTGTAACAGTCACTTTCACTTCCGCTTGTAAATAATTTTATGAACGTTTTATAGTTTGTTTTGTAAACTATTAGTCTGATGATGTCCTTGGAATAAACACAAAAAATTACACAATTTGCTATCCAAACTCTTGTACCATCTTGAATATCAAAAAACGAGATGCCTATATTTGGAATCTGTTTTATTTTGTTTTAAAATAAGCTTATAGAAAGAAGAATGAAAAATTTGTTGCATAAACACTTTAAGAAGGTTAGGATCTTTATAGGGAGAATTTTTTGGCTTGAGAATAACATTTGACATAAAAAAATAGTGTAGTAAGTAGCCTAATAAAGTATCTAAGCGTTTTTTTTTAATGGAGTAATATCGCATGACTTTTGTTAAAGAGCTTGCCGTCATCGAGCTTGTAATAAGAACGTATTCCATTTTTAGGTATTAAAAAGTTGTTGCCTTTTGGAAGTGGTTTGTCTGTCATTATAAATGCTTTTTTAGTTGATTTCATACTGTAAATCATGAATATTTAGGCTCGGTAATCCAAAAATCTTAATTGATTTATTGCTAATAAATAAGTTAATTGATTAATTAATAATATTAGTTCAATTAAATGAAGATATGATCTTCGCACTTTGCTGGACAATTTAAGCAATTGTCTCATAACCTGAATAATTCAGGTGACTCAACGGGATTCGAACCCATGACCTCTGTGATGCCGGTACACTGCTCTAACCAACTGAGCTATGAAGTCCCACAGTGGAGAGGACGTCAATTTGTTGGGCTCATGTTGCAACTTTAAAAAATACATGATACGTGAAACTATAACATGAAAATTTTTGCATGCCTAACCAAGCGAAAAACATCCAAATTAAGAATAGAACTTTTCTCCTCGGAGTAACAGCAATTTTGCTGTCTTCTTTCCCTATTTTAGCCAAAGTTGTCGAAGTGGATTCTAACAATTTAGCATTTCTCTCGACTCCCAATTATCATTATTGCAATTTATAAACCTATTTCACCTGCAATACAACTATATTCTAAGAGCAGCTTAACCCATGATCATCACGCTTAATTAAATTGACGTTTTTGCCCTTTGAAAGAGGTTTAGCTGTAAGCATGCTAAGTGAAGCCACTCGCGGGGGAAACTTTTGTTGTTATAGCCAATCATAGTGCCATATTTATCTTCTCACCGAAATTATTAGCATTTAGGTTTCGTGAATCACATTGCTTTAATTTAGAAGCAAGAACATTCCACAAAGATTGTATGTTAAGCTAAGTCTTAAATAAAGATCTCTTGTATTTTCTTTATCCATGAATCACATGAAGAATGGAATCACAATGTTTTACACATACCAGCATATGGTGTGCAGTCCAAATTTTAAAGTAATCGGGCAAAATAGATATGCTTATTACTTCCCCTCGATTCAACAACGCAAAATTTTTGTCCAACAAAGATAAATATAGAATTTAAATCTAGATGAATAATATTTTTCATAAAGTACAAAAGTTTCTTAGTAGGAAAATTGTTTTGTAATAGCTATTGCTGGTCATCTAATTTGACCTTAACAAGAGTTGCTTTGGGTGTAAAACCAGCCTATATGACTAAAGCAACACTTGGATGGAACGATGCATATAAATAACTCCTCGTACTATGGCTGTACATGGTAAATCTTTTTACTCGTACTCTTTTCTAAAGCTCTTTCATAATGTTATATGCGCCGCGAAGCAGCTCGTAAATATGAAGAATTTAGTACAGTTTCAACTAATATTAAAAACAGCTTCACATGCATGATTTTGTTTGAGGAAGGTTTTCTTGTGGTTTTGTAATCTTTAGAGAAACAATAAATTTTTTTCAAATACATACCAATACAAGTGGTTCCATTTCCTCTAAAACCAGAATTGCAAACGCATGTATAACTTCCAAATGTGTTAACACAATGGGCATTGATGCTGCAATGATGCAACTTCTGGGAACATTCATCTAAATCTAAATATGAAAAACAGGGCTAAATTTCTTTTCGTGAATTTATTAGTCATAATATATCAATCCAAAAACGCACGCTAAGGAGGCACACTGAATTGCCGTCAAATTTATTGTGAAAAATTTAATTTTTTGGTAATTATAGAGGCCATTATTCAAAAAAATATATATTTATCTTCATTATATATTTGTGTTTTTTTTAAAATTTGTAAAGGTTAGATAGTTTGATTTTGTGAATGATTAATTTTCGCTTAAATGAAAACATTATTACTGTGCTTGGCCAGGCTTATGTAACCCAGGAAGGCCTTTTGAAAATATAAGAGACAATACGTGCAAGCCCATGCAAGACTGACGGTTAAAGTTTTCACTTGCTCTGAACTTTTCCCAAACATCTCCAAGCTATGCATAAACTGGTGCAAACACGAAGCAGATCTTCTATTTTTTATATGAAACACCAAAAATAGGAAACAAATACATACAAATGCTATAAGTTATCAAACGTGTATTCATAATTGATAATTGATTTGCAAGCTTCAATTGGTTTAACTTATTTCAGTTTGCACAGGCGAATGGAATCTCAAAGATAGACCAATCCGCGTTCGATTTACTTTTTAATTTTACAACTCACTCTTTTAATTACCTGAACAATATTTTCCATTACCAAAGAAGCCAATGTTACATTCACATAAAAATGATCCGATGGTATTAATGCAAGTTGCTCTTTCATCACAGTTATCAGTAGAAAGGGAACATTCATCAACGTCTATGAATAAAATTGTTATATGTTATGGGTAAACAAATACAATTGAGAGTAAATTTAATCATTATGATGCAATGTTATCAGCAATTATTTAAATATTTGTCTTTGCATTGCAACTGGCATGCAAAATTATTTTAGCATTTTAATATCCATTGATGATTAACTACCAAATTTTGACTTCCTTTATACGCTATGCATAATCCAAACGCTATAATGTTAGCTCGAAAAACGAAATTTGCTGCACCAACGTTCTGAACTAATTCCAAATAATCAAAGAGAACTACGCTTGTCACGCAACAGGTGAGCAACGCGATAAATTTCTTCGTAAAACCATTATTTTTTTGGACATATAAACAAATTTGCAATGCGTCGCATTAAAAAAAAACAAAGAAAATCATAAGTCTTTAAATCGATGAAAAATCGAGTTATAGCTATACGCCACAAATCGATAATATTTTTTTCTGCACGTCGTAACTTCTGTTTTAGAAAACGATTTAATGAAGAAATTTACCTTCGTAACATTTTACACCGGCGTCTTCTGTGTGATCACAGTTATGTCCTCCCCAATCTCTGTGTGAACAACTTGAAAGATGCAATTCATATCCACTACACTTCACATCATCTAACCATATCGTTCCATTACCGTCAGGAACCGCAGGTCCTGTAAGAGCTGCAACAGCTCTTTTATAACCAAGTTGAAGACAAACAACCTTGGCATCGTTTATATCCCAGTCATCATCACAAATTGTTCCCCATTCTCCTTTGTAGAATATTTCTACGCGACCTGTTGCATTGGAACTTGTTGATCCTTGAAGTCGGATTGGTAGTTTTTGGTCATCTTGAAAGAGACGATAGTTTAGAATTAAAATCCTATATTAGATAGACTTCTACTATGAGGCGCCCATCAATTACAGTAAATTGCGTATTGTGTTTGGAAAGAAGAAAGGTTGGAACGCTGTTTGCATGTATCTTCTTCGAAAATACTTCGAGAGAAGGTTTAAATACTACGGCTTTAAATGCAGCCAAAATTCATAGTTTGAATTTTCGGTGAATCATTGTGTCATATACAACATTTTAATTTCACAATTCGACCATTCCTATTCGGTATGTTCTTAATTGGGTGTATGTTTCTTAATTCTGTAGGTCTCTCAATGTGCTTTTCTATTCGGCATGTTTTCAGTTTGATTGTTCTTTCACTTGGCATTTTCTACTTCATAATTTTCTAGCTGTCCAGCATAAATGCTAACAAAAATAACTATCTTGTACAGTTTCTGTGAAAAAAATCATCAAACAGTGAAATCAAATGAGCGTATTCTATAGAGGAAATTCATTAACAGATTTAAACACTAGCGGGCAAAGCATTACGGTAACACACATTCTTTAAAGACAGCATCTTGAACATCATGGATGCTCAAGACAATGTGACATGTTTGAAAACTGCATGCTGCTGAAACCATGTATAAATGCAATGTTATGTTGGCTTGCTCAAACCTTGAAACTTTCCATTTTAAGCACTTAAATTACACAATTTATAAAAGTTCCCAACATAACAACAATATTAATATGATTATTCATTATTAAACATATATAAAAACTGTCAAAGAGTTTTGTTATCAATACTAAAATAAAACATGGCAATTCAAACTACTAAAAATATTTTTTCATTACTCTTTTAAATGATATAAAATTTAGCATTATAAGGTATCTAATTCCTTAAATTGAATTTTTCCATTACAATTCATTCTAATTTATATTTGACATTCTAACTTTACCGTCGGGATTGTTAGAGAAAAACTAAATCTTTCGGCTTACGCGTGCTCTTTACATTTTAGTGCATGGGTTTATTTTAGTCAACCATTTTACTAGTAAACAAATTTGAAATTCAGCAACATCAAGTCAGGTGTTGTAAAATATGCCAATTTATTTGTTCTATACCTAGTGAAAGTGCTCGTACAAAGAGAATGTTTAATCACGAAAACTTTTCATAACTTGAGTTGTTTAACAACTGACGCAAATTTTACTAGATTCAAATTTGTAGAGCATCATTATGAGGCGCCGTTTGTAACAAGATAAGAAGAAAATTAATTACATTAAAATTTAGATTAACAATCATGGATTATATGTTGATGTCAAAAAAAACAAAATATGTTGATATTAAAGTGTTTTTATAAATAAGCGTTTACGACGAAATAAGAATAAAAATATTAACATTAAATACTAAGATGAACGATAAAGGATAATAAATTAATATAAAAAATATCAGATATAATAATAGTAAAGTTTTTGATGCCACAAAGCAGCAACCTATATTCTGATGAAGTCTCGGTTCGAGTCTGTCAGTTTGATAACGATTCAATAGCGAGGGGGGGGGGGAGGGACGGAATGAGGGAGATCGCACAATCACAGTAAAGTAGAACCTTTCGGAACTTCTATCTAACGTTTTAAGTAAACTTGGCATGCCAGCAATAATTTTGCCCTGCATAGAGGTAATCTCTTCTCCTTAGATGAATGGCCCGTCTCAATTTTGATCCCTCCGGATCCACTTCTCCAAGTGTGGTTTGAACAACCAAACAAAGAACGTGCATGCGTATAATTTTTTCCTGCCTAAGATTAAACAAAGATTACTAGAGTGAAAATTTGAAATAAAAGTACAGCTTAATAATGCCATTAATGTTTATTAGGCATTTCACTAGACTATTATGCAAGGTGAGCTATATAGCAACTACCAGTAGCATTGTACTTGCCAAAATAAGCAGAACGTAACCAACATGCCTTTAATCGTATAATTACATGAGTTTTAAAATTGTTTCATGTGTCATGCTTACTGGCTATGATCTTTTCATATAATCAAAACTAGTTAAAATGTAAATTGAAATAATTTAGTTTAGAAATCATAACGATCATCAAAAAAATTAACTAGTGATCATGAAAAATAATTAGCAGTTTTGCCAAATTTCAAGGCTTGTCTGCATACCTAGGAACGCCATTTTACTTTATAGAAAATGTTTTTCATACATCAACAGCTCTTAGGAACTCCCCACAAATAATCTGGTTTGATCCGTAGATCAACACACCTTGACATTTTGTAAAAGATTTCCCTACGTTTTATTAGTGGCTCTGATAATGGTTTCTATTTTGCTTAAGCAAATTACTATGAAACGATCAAACATTCAATTCAGACAGTAAGCTTGACTATGTTAGTTCAATTGATTATCAGTCGAAATTGGTCAAACCAATCTTAGTAAGACAAAAATTTAAACGACAAATTACATGATAGCAATTGGACACCCTTATCGGTCCGGCCATCCCGCTTATTGGTCGAGATTTTCGAAGATCATCCACTTATCTCGCTATTGACCCATTAAATGTCTTAGATAAGCATTCCTGAACTCCGTTACCGGTAGGACCAATGATATGCATATTACACTGGATAACGCATCCATGTAAAAAATATAGTACGAAAATTGAAGGCGGAAGCTGGTTCATTTGCTTACAACAACTTTCGTGTAGGGTATCGGTCCGACTTTACTACACTTTTGTATTACAAAATCACAGTTTTGGGTTTTCATTCGTTCTACAAACTTTTGATGAAAGGGACAGAACAGACGGCAAAGATATTTAATCCTAAAACTTTGTCTTCTTGGCTTTATAATGGCAGAAAATTGAGATGGTACAAGATCGACCTGCATTGTTTAGAAACAAACTGGAAATTATATGATGCGGCTGCTTCTTAAAAAATTTGAAAATATTACAGAATCATAATACTGCCACCAAAATTTTATCTGCAATGACGTTTATGGAATATTGCTACAAATTTACACATTTAACAACACTTTGTTTTGAGTTGTTATTCACATCGCAAAGATCATAATAATTTCAAATTACGTTTTTAATATCTCAGTGAAGAAACAAAACAAATCAACATAGACAAATATTATATTATTTTTCAGTCGTTACAAAGCCAAGAAAACAGAGCTTTAAAGTTAGACCTCTCTACCAGTTTTCCTCTACATTTTGCCTCAATCAGAAGTTTGTAAAAGGAATAAAAACGTAAAAACTGTGATTTTGTAATACAAAACTCTACTGGCTTCATTCAACTGATCTGTCATTACATTGTTCACAAAATAAAAATATTTTGCCATATAAACCAAAATTCACCAAGGGATCCCTGTCCCGGATAAGTTGTCATAATCGGAATGGTTGATAAGATTAAATTTCATTTTCACTAAGACAAAGGCACGCACACGACCAAAATCACACGATGCGATTTATCTTTATGTGTACATTCCGTAAATCCAGCAATGCGGCCTATTTTGATGGCTTGTTCATGCAATTTTCAAATTTGCATGAATTACTTTTTGGCAACAAACCTGACCAAAGCCTTTACGATTTTTCCCCGAGATATTTATTTTACGAGCATGGAAACCTATTGGCGGATTGCAACCATCCCCTTGGGAGTAAAAGAGCAATGGAATGCTCGCCTAATTGGATGAAATTACTATATTGCAAAATCATATAACATGGCGGTTATGACGTAGCTTTCAAACCAAGAATCGAATTTTTTTTACAGTTCTTCTACATCAGTATGTAATCCTACAGCCAAGATTAACCATCCTACAGAGACATTTTGAAGGCCCCATTTATTGCTTTGTACAGATTATACAATATTGTCAGCCACCCACCAATGCCAGATAAATAACCACTTTTCATTTGTAAATCTCATAATGTTAATTTTTTCTACACCAACAATTAGAGATATCATAGATAACTATGCCATCGCTATTTATGAACTACGTCTATATTTATACCATTGGCGTCCATCCTGTGTTAATTGGCAAGACCATATTTATGTTTGCTTTTAAAACAATTTTACTTGCAAAAGATTCAGCCTGGCATAACAGAATATATGAATATGGTCCCCCGCCCAACTATTGCAGGAGTGACGCTAATTATTTATACAAGAATTACATAAAGTTATCTTTACTAAAAGTGCTACTGAAGAGAAATTTTCGTATTTCGTTTTTTGAAACAAACGTTTTCTCTGCTATTTACTAATCATTTTGAGCTATTGAACACAGGAAAGCATCGAAATTTGCTTGATATCAGCGGGTTAGTCTTGCATTCGGCAGCTTCCATTATAGCATATGTTGTTGTGTTAAATTAATTAAATGATGCTTTTGTCAGAACTTAGAGTTATACCTGGGTCTTGGAAGGCTGCTTTGTTTGGTGCTGAGGTAAGTTTTAAGAAATTCAATTTTTTTAAGGAAACATTTTGAATCTACGGCCAATGTCTACATTGATTGCCATAGATAAAATTCCCCAAAACTGGTAAAAAAGAGCAGGTATGCGTTCTGCTTTGTAAATTTAAAGCTAGAGTGTGTTAAAGTAAATAAAAACAACCCAATAAGGACAACAATTTACTTAGTCAGAAAAGCTTACAATATCAATACAAGTATCAAAACTCAAAGTAATACTATAAGAACCACCATACAGTGGCCATTATGCAGTTCTTTTACATGCTTCTTTTTTCAGTACTGTCAGCACCTAAGCTTTTTTCTTTCTTCAGTTAATTCATAAAATTGACTAATCTTATCATGAGAAAAAAAGCCATTCTCACACGCTTATTAATGCACTTTTGGTGGTTTCTACATAGGTGATTTCAACAAACCTATTTTTGTATTATGAATATTATTTTTTTCCTAATCTACACTTGCAACATAAGCGTACGTATAAACACAGGCATCTATGTGTCGTACCTTGCAATAAACTCTAGCAAGTAAAAATGAACAAAGACTTTTTTGATAATCTTGTGTTTATCATTTATGTCATGAGTGATGA